ATATATTTTTAACTTATGTCTCGTTTACTATTTTAGTTTCTCTATTAGTTTATGTTTGCATTAATTATAGCTGTAGTTATGAGACTAAATATAAACATAAAAATATATTTAAACTTTAATTTTGATGATTTGAAATGCAATTGAAATGATTTATGAGAGTCTCATATATTTACTCACAAGGAGACTACAGTACAGTACTGTAAACATTAAAGTGTAAAATATTTGATTTGTAAAAGTTATGCAAAGTTTTTGTCCTCTTTGTTCAAAGGATTTGTTAATTCTTTAATAAAAACTTGTTTATGAATACATAGTTTAAAATTCATGAATTACTGTTCCTGCCACTCATTTTAAATTTGTGATCAAACTCACTAATGAGCACCGGTAGCTTAACCAGTGAACCAATTTTTATCAACAAATTGCCAATTAATTTACATGTTGTAATTTTTTTAATGCATATTATTACTGTATTGAGTTGACGTTATGAGTTGAAACTTTAAAGTTTATGATACAGTAAATACAGAATACAGAATACATTGGGCATTGTACAATGGACATTGTATTGTACGGTTGCATTGTAACCACATCTCGTGTTCATCTCAGCAAACAGTTACACATTTTATCACCAATTCTTCAAGATACTTATTAGACGGAGGGATCAACTCTTAAACACCACTTCAGACATGCTATCAGTCCTTCGAAAGACAGCTCTCTGTGGCCACTCTTCAGCCAAACTATTCACTCACACATTTAGCAGACCATCCAATGGGACATCCCTGCAGACCATTAGTTTGTATCACTCGAGACACGCCATAAAACACTACTAATTATATGATAATCTGTTGCAGTGGTGCGACTCATAGGCAACACTAAGGGCAACACTAAACTCAAGAAACAGACACTACTGGAGCGCCTGCTGTCACCCACAACTGATCCACCATTCATTATCGGACGCGGAGTTGTGGCCGGAAGTGCTATCATTGGGATCGTCGCTCTCTGTTACTATGGACTCGTGATAAGCCATTCCGCGAGCATTTACAAAGAGTCCAGGTAGAGGTAGATAG